CAGCGAGGCAGTTCCCCAAATGGAAGTGAACCGTTGTAGGAGCCTGTGAAGAGGGAGCTTCGAGGGGGGGTAATCCCAACATCGTTGATGACTCTTGGGTTTCCACTGGTCCTCCTCCTCCTCCTACTCCTCCTCCTCCTCATCATCATCATCATCATCCCTCGGGATCTTTCTCCTCCCCCTCTTCCTCCTCCTCCTCCTCCTGCTTCTCCTCCCCTTCTTCTCCTCCCCCGCCTCCTCTTCCTCCTCCTCATCCTCCTCTTCCTCCTCGTCTTCCTCCTCGTCCTCCTCGTTCGTATCCACCCTTCCCCCTCCCCTTCCCCCCCCCCTCTCCCTCATTGATCGCCTCCTCCCTTTTCCCTCCTTCCTCCTCTTCCTCCTCCTCCTCCTCCTCCTCCTCCTCCTCCTCCTCCTCCTCCTCCCTCCCAAGGAACCACCTTGACGCGGTGTGAGGGCTTAAGGTGGTAGGGGGGCACTGGCCACCCTACCACCCACTACTAACGGTTCCAACACATTTCCCAATTCGCCGATCTCCAGGATTGCCGAAATTGGGAAGGGGCAGGAGGGGTCGGACCCCTCCGCCCAGGCCAGGAGCGCTGCCCCACAGGCCAGGGGGGTCGTTAAGGCTGTTCCCGTTTGGTCTTAAGAGACCCCCCAATTTGGACTATCCACCCCGAGTGCGGCTCCATGCGTGCCCACGCATTCGACAGGGAGCGCTGCCTAACATTCCCGGGGGGGTCGTCAGGGTTGTTCCCCTTTGGCACTAAGAGCCCCCTGGTCGGGGATACCCGCTCCGAGTGTGGCTCTCCGATTGCCCCACTGACTGCTGCAGAGGTGCGCCGCCGAAGCGCCTGGACCAGGGGTGCTGCCCCACAGGTCATGGGGGGCGTTAGGGCTGTTCCCCTTTGGCCTTAAGAGATCCCCCAGTCGGAGCTATCCGCTACCAGTGTGGCTCCACGAGGACCCCATCTTCTGCTGCGGAGCTGCGTTGCCAGGCGCCTGGACCAGGGGCGCTGCCCCGCAGGTTATGGGGGGGTCGTTAGGGCTGTCGCCCCCCTTTGGTCCTAAGAGACCCCCCAGTCGGGCCGAGGCTTCTCTGAGGGCCGTTGGGCGGGCGCAGCAAAGTAGAACCTCCGAGTTCGGCCATGAACGTGCGTTTCCCTTCCGAAGGAAACTTTCTAGGGGGCTACCATGGGCACGGCAAGACAAGTTTTTGTGAGGAGAGCCATGGCCCCAAACTCGGCAGAAGGGCTAGTGCCTCGGGGGGAACTCCAGGGTTACAGCGCCTCGGAATTCAAGGGAGCACATCACAGGTCACCGGGGGGTCGTTAGGACTGCTCCCCTTTGGCCCTAAGAGACCCCCCAGTCCAGACTGTCCGCTCCGAGTGTGGCTCCGCGAGGGGCCAACCTTCTGTTGCGGAGGCCGCCGCCGAGGCGCCTGGACCAGGGGCGCGGCCTCACATGTCAGGGGGGGGTCGTTAGGGCGGTTCCCCTTTGGCCCTAAGAGACCCCCCAGTCGGAGCTGTCCGTCCCGAGCGTGCTTCCAGCCAATCTTCTGCTCGTGAGAGGCGCCGCCGAGGCGCCCGGACCAGGGGCGCCGCCCCACAGGTCATGGGGGGGTTGTTAGGGCTGTCCCCTGTGGCCCTAAGTGACCCCCCGGTCGGGGCTGTCCGGCCCTAAGGTTGGCTCCATGAGGGGCCAATCTTCTGCTCGTGAGAGGCGCCGCCGAGGCGGCTGGACCAGGGGCGCTGCCCCACAGGTCATGGGGGGGTCGTTAGGGCTGTTCCCCTTTGGCCCTAAGAGACCCCCCGGTCGGGGCTGTCTGCTCCGAGTGTTGGCTCCACGAGGGGCCAATCTTCTCTCGTGAGAGGCGCCGCCGAGGCGGCTGGACCAGGGGCGCTGCCCCACAGGTCATGGGGGGGTCGTTAGGGCTGTTCCCCTTTGGCCCTAAGAGACCCCCCAGTCGGAGCTGTCCGTCCCGAGCGTGCTTCCAGCCAATCTTCTCTCGTGAGAGGCGCCGCCGAGGCGGCTGGACCAGGGGCGCCGCCCCACAGGTCATGGGGGGGTCGTTAGGGCTGTCCCCCTTTGGCCCTGAGAGACCCCCCCAGTCGGAGCTGTCTGCTCCGAGTGTTGGCTCCACGAGGGGCCGATCTTCTGTTGCGGAGGCCGCCGCCGAGGCGGCTGGACCAGGGGCGTTGCCCAGGTCATGGGGGGTCGTTAGGGCTGTTCCGCTTTGGCTCTAAGAGACCCCCCAGTCGGAGCTGTCCGTTTCGAGTGTGTCAAACATGTGAGTCGGTGATGATGTATATGAGTAGGTCAGCGGAGAAAATACATCGCACACATTTCCAGCATGCGCTCGCGAGAGTGGAACTTGCTACACCAGGGGGTGGGGGCGAATTGTTAACACCCCCCCGCATCTCTGAATACACGTTCGGCCATGGATCAGCCCTCAAGGAGGCTGTCCTGCGAACGTGGCCAAAATTGTGTAGCGAAGACTTGAACTCACACGCCGTTTTAATCATCACTCCTTGGCGAGTTTGGTGGCCATCCCCGTTTGGTGAGAGCCCCAGCATGCCACAACAAAGTGTGGCCCCTTTTTCTCTTTCTCTTCCTCTTTCTCTTTCTCCTTCTTCTTTTTCTTTTTCTGGGGGTACTGGGTGCCGTCAGTCAACATGCATCGGGAGGTGCTCAACGGTTGATGCCCCCTTACAGGCCATCAGCAGGAGTGGTCAACGAGGGGAGTCCAGGGACTTGGCTCTCGGAGTGAGTTTTGTCCCGTGAGCAACCCCCTGGCCGCAAGAGCGGTCAATGAGGGGGCGACCAAGGGATCGGTCTTCGGCATCCTCCTCTGCCCTCACCTCCTCCTTCTTCTCCTCCTGCTTGGTCCTTCGTGTGAGCTGGAGGACTAGTCCTCGATGTTGAACCTGGCGTCTCGGGCTGACTCGAGTGGTCCCCCCTGGCCGCAACAGCGGTCAAGGGGGGGGCGACCAGGGATTGGCTTTCGGTATCAACCTCGTCTTCCCTCTCCTCCACCTCCTCCGAGCTGAATAATACATGCGACACGTTTTTCCGAGCAGCGTGCTTCCGGTCCCCCTGCCCTTTGCCTTCTAAGATGCCGTTGGTGGGTTTTTGTTTCCCCTCTTTGCCGTGGCTCGCGGCCTTTGCATTCTAAGATGGCCTTCGTGAAGCCTCCCCCTTCCTCTCTTCCGGAATCTCCTCCTCTCGTCCTCCCTCCTGAGGCTCCTTGACTCATTGGTTTTCTGCCGAAACGCATGTTTTCAGGAAGTGTCTTTTCTGAAGAAAATCTTGAAACCTCAGTTTTGTCGTTCTGCACAGCGTTTTACTTTCAATCGTGCGCGAGAACACTTCAACCGCACAGTCAGGCCGTCAGCACAGGGGCCTCGAGGAAACACTGGATGGTCAGGGGGGTCGTCAGGACTGTTCCCCTTGGTCCTAAGAGACGCCCCGGTCGGGACTATCCACGCAGAGTGTGGTTCCACGAGGGCCCATTGCCGAGGCGTCTGGACCAGGGGCGCTGCCCCACAGTCCCACAGTCCATGGGGGGGGTCTTGTTAGGGTAGTTCCTGATTGGACCTCCGTCGGGGCATCCGCACCGAGTGCGGCTACACGAGGGCCCCAATTTTGCTTCGCAGTTGCGCCGCCGAGGCGCCTGGCCAGCTCGGCCTATCCCCATCAACCTTTCCCTCCTGGCACAAGGGGGGGAGGAAGGGGACGGGGATGGGACACGGGCTGCCCTACCAGTCGGGGGGTCGTTAGGGTTGTTTCCCTTCTGGCCCTAAGAGACCCCCGCAGTCGGGACACGACCGCCGAAACCCAGAACAGAGGCATTTTCCCCTCCCTACCCGTGGACTCGGGCCAGACAAAAGGCTACACCGCGGGCTTACCCCCTCCCCAGCCTCTGGCTCCAGGCTTCTGCCATCCAATAAAGTTTAAGATTTTGGCAACAGCTGCCAAAGCCTTAGAGATGGTTTAGGTACCCTATAAACCTATAGCGAGCTTGACAATCCTCCTCCTCCTCCTCCTCCTCCTCTTCCTCTCTGGTCTCCTCCTCGTCTCTGTTATCCTCATGATCCTCCTCCTCGTTCTCTTCCTCTGCCTTCTCCTTCTCCCTCCTTCCTCCTCCCCCTTCCTCCCCGCTGCTTCCTCTCCTCCTCCCCCTCCTCCTCTTCCTCCGCTCTCTCCCTCCTCCTCCTCCTCCTCTCTCCTCCTCCTCCGGCCTCTCCTCGGGCTCTCCTCCTCCCATCTTCCCCCTCCCCTCCCTCCTCCTCCCCTCCTCCTCCGCTCCTCCTCCTCCTCCTCCTCTCCTCCTCCTCCTCCTTCTCCTCCTCATCCTTCTCTTCTCCTCTCCTCCTTTTCCTTCTCCCTCCCTTCTCGTCTTCCCTCCTCCCTCCCTCCTCCTCCTCTCCCTCCTCCCTCTCCTCCTCCTCCTCCTCCTCCTCCTTATCCTTCTTCCTCCTCATTCTCCTCCTCCTCCTCCTCCCTCCCTGTTTTCCTCCTCCTCCTCCTCGAGAGGATCTTTCTCCTCCTTCCTTCCTTCTCCTTTCCTCCTCCTCCTTCTCCTCTTCCTCTCCTCCCTCCTCCTCCTCCTTCTCCTCCTCCCGCTCCTCCTATTCCTCCTCCTCCTCCTTCTCCTCTTCCTTCCCTCCTCCTTCTCCTCCCCCCCCCCTCTTCCCCATCGCTCCTTCCTCTCCTCCTTCCAGCCGTTCTGGCCCAGGTGATTTGGGCTTGCTAGCGTATACTTCAGAACGGCACACTGCGCTAGCGGGTCAAGTGGCTCGTTCAGACAGTAGCATCGTTCGCGGCGTCTCCCATGGGACCAAAGCAGCATGAGATCATCGGTGCGAAATGTCTCTCGTGTGGTGCTGCGAAGTGCAACAAACCGTGGTACAAATGGTGTGCGAATTGTTGGGCCCCCATTCCGCACGTTTCTCCTGGCGCTCCTCGCGATCCTGGGGGTGTGTGGCAAAGTGGCCCTGCAGTTCCAGGCCCAAAAGGTTCTCACAAAGGTCAAGGACCCAAAGGTGGTGGACGTGGCAAAGGCGGGTTTGGGAGTGGCGGAGGCGGCGGCGTCGGGGGAGGACCTGGCGGTCGTGGAGGCGCTTTGGCTCATCCTGCGGACCCGTCGTCCCTCCTCGCCCAGCTTCAGCTGCTCATGGGTCAGCTCAAGGACGACTTCCCAGAGCGTGCAGCAGTGGCCAGCTCCATCGCGGCGTCGGCTTCAGCCATCCGTTCCCAGCAGTCTGAAGCTCGTCCCCTTCGGCAGCAGGCATCCGAGGCTCAGCAGGCTCTTGACAAGAATGTTCGCGCCCTCAACTCGCTCGACTCCCAGATCGCAGACACCGAGTCGCGCCTCGCGGAGCTCAAGGAGAAGAGGGCGGAGACCGCAACCCAGCAGGTGCAGCTCAAGGCCAGGTACCTGGAGCTGGCGGCCAAGGTGGCCGACCTCCCGCCCCCGCCGCAGGCGGAGCTCCAGGGGCATTTGTCCAACTTCGACAGCGTGCTGGAGTCTGGCGACCTGGCCGCAATTCGTGAGGGCTGGGCCAAACTCAAGACCAGCTGCCAATCCGTTGCCCAGAAGGAAGCCGCAGGCAGTGGAGCTGCTCCTGCTGCTTCTGACAGTGGTGGGGGGACGGGTGGTGAGGCTGGGGTGGAGACGGGTGAACCTACTCACTCTGATGAAGCAATGCCTCAGGTCGAGGCTGCGGACTCAGAAGCGTTCCAGAACTTTTTACATGAATGGCAGCAGGCACAGTCGGAGGAAGTCTCGAGTGAGTCGAGGCAGCGCGTCTCGACTTTTATCGAGGCAGCGGCCAAGCGTGCCAGGACGATGGCTGCCACTCCTACCGAGGCTCCTGCTCCTCGGACTCCTTCCTAGCCCACCTCAGCCGATGTCGGCTGGCTCGTCTCCCCTCCTCAGTCAGGATGTGGCCGCGGGAGTGCTTGTAGAAGGCTCTCTCCAGCCCCCATCCTCCGCCTGATTTGGATAATTTCGGGCTCTGTGTGCAGACTTGCAATGTTTCAGGATGGCAGTCACTTAAGAATAAGTGGCTGCCAATGACCACGGCACACGTTTTGTTAGTTCAAGAACATCACTTGTGCTCAGACGAAGACATCTCCAAGGCGTCTGAATGGCTCTTTCGTCATGGGTGGAAGTCGTGTTGGGCGGCGGCCGCTCGTGGGGAGGGCACTGGGTCTTCTGGAGGAGTTGCTGTTATGGCTAGATCGTACCTCGGGCTTCACACGTTGTCGTCGGGCTTCGTACTGTCCCCTCATCGTGCTGGAGCTTGTGTTATAGATATTCCAGGAGGTTTTCAGGTCCTTGTCGGATCGATCTACCTTCACGACGTCGAAGGTCTTTCTGAGCGCAACGTGGAGATCTTGTCGCGTCTCGGAGCTGGACTTTCACATTCTGATCTCCCTGTCATCGCGGGAGGCGACTTCAACATGACTCCAGGTGAGTTTCAGAAGTCGCATTTCGTTTCGGAGTTCAAAGGCCAGATGATCACCCCGACAGACGGAGGCTACACGCTCCGCAGCACGGGGGGCCTCAAAGTATCTGATTTCTTTGTCGTCTCGGCAGGCATCGCGAAGGTTATCAGGCAGGTGAGTGTCAACTACAATTCCCCTCTCACCCCCCACTCCCCTGTGGATCTGGAGCTTTTCCCTTCGCCTGCTCAACTCAACGTTTTGGAATTTCGGAAACCTCCCCCCCTTCCCCCCCAAAGGGCCATAGGGCCCACTCGGGAACCCCCATCTTGGGACCCTGTTCTCGATGTGCTGGAGGCGGCTCTGGTAGCTGCCAGGGCGGGGAGGGGGGCTGAAACTCAAAGGCTGCTCAATCTCACCTACAAGTGGTGGGCCAACCTAGCGGAAGTGGAGGTGGCCAACGCCACTCAATCGGTGCTTCCGGTTTGGGGTGCGAGAGGCAAGGGTCCTCAGCTTATGTGGAAGCCTGTTTTCTCGAAGGACAAGGAACCTCTTAGGCACCCCTTTCTGTACTCTGTCAGGTGGCTGTATAATCGCATCTTGGACTGCAAGGTGTATATTTCGTCTTATTCCCAAAAGGCCAAGAGTGGTGGAGGTGATTTTGCGAGGGCCCTGAGGTCCTACATTTTTCACCCTCCCCCTTTCGTGGTCGAGAATCTGGGTGCCCATAAGGAGCTGCTTATCACTTTGCAGTCCATGATCACCCGTGCTGATTTGAACTCGAGCGGAGAGCTCGAGCAGGACGTTCTCGATCTGTATCTCTCGGTCTCCGACGTGGTCGCGCAGGCAGAAGCCAGTGCTAGGGACCGCAGTTTAGCTTCCTGGCGTAGTTGGCTGAGAGAGAACATCGATCAGGGGGCCAAGCGAGCTCACATGGTCACTTCTGAACCCAAGCCCTGGAAACCTACTTCCACTCTCTCGTCCAACGGCTGTGTGGTCAGTGACCCCAGGTCCCTTCTCGAGGCTGAACGCAACAAGTTTATTCATTTATGGCGTGCTTTTGACTCCCCGCTGGAGTTGGGACCTATTGCCGATTTCGCTCCTGCCCCTGAGCTCCCCCTTTTGGACCCCAACGAGTTGGTCCGTATTTCGAGGAGCTACAAGATGAATTCGGCGGTGGGCGTGGACGGTTTCCACATGAAACATTTCAGTATGATTTCCCTTCCTGGGGTCACGGCGCTGTGTAGGATCCTGCAGGTCATGGAAATCTCCAGCATGTTGCCTTTTCAGCTTGATGCCACAGTGTTGGCGCTCCTGGGGAAACCTACTGGAGGGTTCCGCCCTATCGGGATTTTCATGGGTCCTTACCGCATCTGGGGGAAAGCGCGGCGGTGCCTTGCCGAGAGCTGGGAGGGGGCGCACGCTCGCCCCTACTTTGCGGCGGGCAAGTACCAGGGGGCCTCAGACGTTGTGTGGCGGCAAAGCGTCCGCAGCGAGAGTGGGGCCACTCACAACTTACATGCGGCTACCCTCCTGCAGGACATGTTTAAATACTACGAGCTCATTGATCTCGAGCGACTCCTCGGTCGATGTATAAGATTGGGTTTCCCTATTGCTATGGCCAAGTTGGCTGTTAGGGCCTACAGGGCCACGAGGTTTCTTTCCTTGGGTGGCTGCATCGACGGTCCGTGGTACGCTTCTTCTGGAATCATAGCGGGGTGTTCGTTGGCCACGACCCTGATCAGGGTTAACGCTGTGGAGTCGCTCGATTCTGTTAGGTTACGGCAGGGTGCTCAACTGGCGCTCTACATCGACGATTCTGGCCTCAGTGCTGTCGGCAGTTTCAATTTTGTTGTGGACGCCATCACGGAAGGCGCGCCCCAGCTCCACGCTGCCATCGTTGATGGCATTGGTGCGCAGGTGGCGGCTGACAAATCCAGCCTGATTTGTTCCTCGGCCAAGCTAGGCAGGGCCATTCAGGCCAAACTGGGAGTTGAGCTCACGGGTCCCATTACTTCCAGTGCTGTTAACCTTGGGGTGGACGACACGGTGGGGAAGAGTTCTCGGACCCAGGGTCGTAACAAAAAGCTGGTGATTAGGAGGCGTCTTTTCATCAAACGCACTGGCCGTGTGGCTAAACTTCGTAAGACCCTCGGTTCCAGGAGAACTTTGCGAGTTTTCACTGCAGGACCGCTCCCTGGCTTGCTGTATGGCAGCGAGGTTAGAGGGGTTACAGACTACGAGCTGATGCTCATCCGCCGTGCGGCGGCCAGGACTATTAAGCCTTCAGCTGGCCAACGCTCCCTGACGGTGCTTTCCCACCTCGAAGGCGACCCTGCTTGGGTTGGGGCCGTTTCCCCGATCTTGCGGTGGCACAAGGAAGTTTGGTGCTCTCAGGTCAGGGCCTTTGAAGGCTCGATTCCTTTCAGGGAGCTGAGGCAAGCGTGGGAAGGTGTTTTTCTTCAGGATTCCCCCTCGTGGAGGGCGGTAGGTGGTCCTGTGGCCGCCATGCGCAAGTCCTTGGAGAGGATCTCGTGGACGATGAGGGACTTCGCCACTTTCGTCACTGACAAGGGGATCGAGCTTTCCATGACCCTCATGTCCCCCCAGCTTGTCAAGCAGCATCTCCGTGGGGCAGTCTTCAGGGTTCTCGAGTGGGAAGCTGGCGCTAAATGGGATGTGCCTCATCGTCTGTGCTTTGACGTGGTGAAGTTCGAGCTCCGCCGCAAAAAATACTCAGCGCTCGAGAAAGGGTGTATTCGGGCTGTTGCTACGGACGCAGTGTGGACTCGTGCAAAAGCTTTGCGAAAGGGTTACCAGATAGACCCCACGTGCCACCTCTGCGGCTCAGCCCCCGACACGCTCCACCACCGACTCTGGGTCTGCAGGTGCCAGGAAGTTGTCGAGGTCCGTTCCAGTCTCGTTACTCCCGAGCTTGTTTGCAAGGCCCTGGAGGAGCCCAATTCGATTCGATCTTGTTTTGGAGCTTTTGCCCACCCTGGGGATTATTTTCCTGGTCCCGCGGCCGAGTCGTCTGGTACTTTCTGGGCCAGGGAGGACCTTCCCCAGGAGGTAGGCCAATTTCCTTTCACAAACAATATTTTCACCGACGGTAGCGCATGTAAGCATATAGTTCGCGAGCTCAGCAGGGCAGGCTGGTGTTTTGTGGCTGTGGACGACCAGGGGGACCTCTTGGGAAAGCTCTACGGCCCCGTCCCCCCGTGCTACCCCCAGACTGCCCCTGCGGGCGAGTTTGCTGCGATTTGTCAAGCCATACTTTTCTCAGGAGGACCTTCGGATTTTTATACAGATGCTCAGCTGGTCAAAGACCACTTCGGTCGCCCTCAGATTGACCAGCTTTCACCTAAGCGATGCTACAGCGGGTTCTCCCTCTCCCTCCTTTCGGATTTCTGGAAGGTCCGCTCTTTGAACAAAGTGAAAGCGCATCGCTCCTTGGATGAGTGGACCGACAATCATGACAAGATGTGCCGTTTTGGGAACCACCATGCTGATGTAGGAGCTAAAAGCGCTTCTGCGGGGGAAGGGTACCTGGGGCACCCACAGCCGTCGGAGGAGGACAGGTGCAGGCTTGATCTCGACATTAAGTTTTCTAGGGCTGTGGCATCACTGTCTGCTAAGCTGATGCCTTTGTGGCCCAAATTAGACCTCCAAGACGTTGTGTGGATTCAGCCGCCTAAGGACCCCCCCCAGGTGGTTTCTTCTGTGCTTTGCGATTGGCAGCCCATCCAGATTTTCGAGCTTGGTTCCGTCTCGGGCTTTTGGAAGTGTTCGAGGTGTGCAAAAGTCAGCCGTCTTTCCACCCACGGTCCCCCGCCTCCCTCCTCTAAGTGCTCCCCTGTTCGAGGGATGGAGGCGCAGGTTTTGGAGGCGCGGGGACACAGGTGTTTGACGCTGGCCTGCTCAGACAATTCGACTTTGGTGATCTGCACCAAGTGCTATTCTTATTCGTCTCATGGTCGTGCGTCGGGCCTTGCGGATGTTTGCAGCGGCCCGACCAGATCAAAGAAGCACAACAGTTGGCACCCGATTTGTAAAGGCCTCCATCCAAAGCGTCCAGGAGTCTCGGTAGAGAGAGGGCCTTGGGCGCAGAAGGGAGGAGGCCATCAGGTTGCCGATGCAGGTGCCGCCGCGGCGCAGGAGCACGGCTCTCCGCGCCCCGCCACCGCCGCCGAGGACCGTGGGGACGGGGTGGAGCGGGGAGCGGGGGGGGGAGCGACTGTGTCCGAGCACGCTTGGTTGCAGGACTGGGAGGCGGACGAAGAAGCCTCTCGTTTTCTTTTTCAGGGCCCTCCTTCTCCTCCTCCTCCTCCCCCCCTTCTTGGAATGCCCTGTGCCCCGGCCTCTTCTCGTAGTGAGGCCAGAGAGGCGTCGTTTATCTCGGTGCTCGCGCACCGTGATGAGGGCGACTCGAGTTCGGACTAACGCCTGGGGGAGAAGCAGCGGGCCACGGGGTATCCTCCAGCCAGCTGGAGATGTCCCTGTGGCCCGCTGCTTTTCCTCGCTTTTCAGGTGTTAGTATTTGCTGGCTTGACCAGCCGTCCTGCCCTAATTGTCTGGGCAGGCTCTCTCCCTTGATGTTGATGTCAAAAAATTCCTCTCCTCCTTCCCCTCCTCCTCCTCCTCCTTCTTCTCCTTCTCCCTGCATCCTCTCCTTATCCCCCTTCTCCTCCTCCCTGCGTCCTCTCCTCCTCCTCTTCTTCCTCCTCCTCCTCCTTTTCCTCCTCCTCATCCACCATTCCTGTTCCTTATAAGTATTTTCTCCGCGTCGCACCCCGACCGCGTCCAGTTTCTAGGGCTTTCGCCTCATATTGTTTTACCACTTATGACCCTGAAGCTCAAACATTGGCAAGAGTTTCACAGACGGACGGCGGGTGGTTTTCAAACTGTGGCTCTCGCTTTAGCGCGGCGCACATTCGTTTAACAAAATTGCAAGAGCTTCGCGGATTGAGGGCGGGCCGTTTTTTGGATGTGGCTCTCGCCTCAGCGCCGCGCACATTCATTGTACAAGTCTGCAAGAGCGTAACGGATTGAGGGCGGGTGGTTTTCAAATTGTGGCTATCGCCTTAGCGCGGAGCACATTCGTTTTAAACATTTGCAAGAGCTTCGCGGATTGAGGGCAGGTCGTTTTCAACATGTGTCTTTCGCCTTAGCGCAGCGCACATTCGTTTTAAATATTTGCAAGAGCTTCACGGATTGAGGGCGATTCCTTTTCAAAATGTGGTTATCGCCCTAGCGCCGCGCACATTCGTTTACTAAGTTTTCAAGAGTTTCACACATTCCCATCATCAACGTACCAAAATCTGTGTTTGGGAAGGATTCTGGATTATGCGGGTGCAACAGTTACGTTGATTCTCTGTGCTGATGTCCTAGGAACGGCTTTCTCGCACGATTCAGGATCGTCAGGACGCAACAATCAGGTTGATCCGTGGCGTTGGAACCCCGAGAACAATGCTTGGGATTGCTTCAGGGTCTTCAAGCGGGTGTCTTCCAACGAGGCAGTTCCAACAATGGAAATGAACAGTTGTACGGGCCTATGAAGATGGAGCTTGGAGGGAGGGTTTACTCCAACGTCGTTGATGACTCTTGGGTTTACACTGGTCCTCATCCTCCTCCTCCTCCCTCCTCCCTCCTCCTCCTCCCTGCGTGAGGCAACCCAGACCCTCTCGAATAATGCAACAATCTGGGCGGTAGGTTTTCGGTTGTTTTCGACCTCTGGGGGCCCTTGCAGGGCCTCTGGACCGCCAAAGAAGGACTCAGGATGAGAAACCGGTCCCGTGGAGTGGGGCGAGACCTCTGAAGGTCGATGTTATGAAAAATCAAGACGAACGAGGGGCCCGTTTTTTAATCCTTCGCGATAACGGTCGTTACAGGGGGGGTAGAGGGTGGGCGAGAGGGCTGGTGACGTCACGCTTTGCGCCGGCGCCGTTTGGGAGCTAGTACACCCTTGCAGCAAGTCCCAAAAGGCGCCAGCGCGAAGCGTGACGTTACCAGGTGGGGTGGGGAAGCGGGGAGCATCCTGGGTAATGGCCGTTCTCGCGAATCGTGAGAAACGATTTTGGCCTCAGGGCGTTCTCGCTGTTCTCGGCGGTTTTCCAGTTTTCCAGCCGCGAGATGCTCTCCAGCAGCTGCGCCTCGCCGAGAGCCGGAGGCGGTGGCCAGGGGCAAAACGACAGGTGGAGGGCGTTTTCGATGTTCTCGGCGGTTGTCCAGCCTCGGGGTGCTCTCCGGCAGCTGTGCCTCGCCGAATCGAGCCCTCCCCCCCCATCGCTCCCCCCAGGTGGGCCACAAGATGCCCGGCCCGTTCCGGCCCTTCCAGGGCGCCAGCTGCCGGCTCTGAGGGCGCCGCGTTTGGGGGCGCGCGCGCTTGCGCGCTCCACCGCTCCCCCTCCTCCTCCTCCTCCTCCTCCTGCTCCTCCTCCTCCTCCTGCTCCTCCTCCTGCTCCTCCTCTTCCTCCTGCTCCCTCCTGCTCCTGCTCCTCCTCCTCCTCCTCCTCCTCCTCCTCCTCCTGCTCCTCCTCCTCCTCCCCCTCCTCTTCCTCGTCGTCGTCCTCCTCCTCCTCCTCCTCCTCCTCCTCGTCCTTCCCCTCCCCCTCCCCCTCCCCCTCCTCCCTCTTCCTCCTGCTCCCTCCTCCTCCTCCTCCCCCTCGTCCTCCCCCTCGTCCTGAGCACTCCATGAGGATGACCATTCGGAACATCGCATTCCTTTACTAGTGATGCTTGGAGGTGAGAGTCTGCACCTTCAACGAACCCCCCAAGAAGTAACATATCCACTACAACTGCTTCACGGCGACCCTCGACAGGCTGTCAAAGTAAGAGCCCCAAGTCCGCACGCCCGCGGTCTGCGCGGCGAAGGGCAAACCTGGTGAGCCACAGGCGCTCCTGTTCCTTCTTCTCCTTTTCCTCCCCCTCCTTCTCCCCGTCGTCCTCCACCGCTCCGAGAGCGGCACCACTTGCTTCATCCATCAAAAGGCTTTCGACGCCGCGAAGGGCCGCTTAATGACGACCTGAGTGCGGTAGCTTGCGTCGCGTTGTCTGGAGTCCGCCGCACTACGCGCCCAAGCTGCTGCTGCTACTCCTCCTCCTCCTCCTCTTCCTCCTTCCTTTGCCAATTTGGCTCAAGTGGGAACAGGTCCAATTTGGGCGGGCAGCTCTCTTCAGAGGGCAATCTGGCTGTTGAGCCCAGGCGGACACGAATTCTTCTCTTTCTTGCACGACGGGGCAGGGCTCCCCAACAAACCTCAGTTGCTGCAGTGGTCGAGATTGCGCAGCTCTTCGCGACGTTTCGATCCAGCCTCAATGAGAAGATGACGGACCTCGCCTCCGCGGTGAACAAAGGACTGGCTGAGCAGGTAGCTCAGCTGGCAGGTCTAGCAGACAATGTCAAATATTTCTCCGAGGTGGTCAAAGCACAGCAGAGCGAGATTGCCGAGCTCAAGTCCAAGCAGGAGCAGCTGCCATCTTACGCGGCGGTAGCAGCTTCGTGTGCATCATCAGGGGGCGAGCAGTGCGAGTGATGGCGCATCGTCAAAGCATCGCAGAGTTAGAGGGAACCCAGCTGAATATGTGCAGGACCAGAAGAAGAAGAAGCGGCGCTGGATGGGGACATTCCCGCGCAGCCTCACCGGGAAGCAGCGGAGTGAGCACTGCGAGCAGATCGTAGAGCCCAAGCTACCGCACCACATCAGGGACCCCGTGACGGTCACGATCGCGTGGGTGGGCAACAGCTACGGCTTTACGTTTGCCACTGTGTTGCCAGCCAAGGAGTTCAGCAATCTCCTTCGAGATCATGATCTTTCCTGGGCGGATCCCAGGGACGGCCGCGCGCGCGAAGTCTACCCGAGGAGGGACATGCCGATCGACGTGCGCCAGCGCCAGAGGGCGGCAAACAAGCTGCACGAAGGCGGGATGACTTTGCTCCGTAATGGGGGCAAGGACGTGACAGGCTTCAGGCTCGGAGCGCACGGCTATCAGGGGCCGATGCGCTACGCGTCCAGCGACGAGGTGTTCGAGATGGTGCACATCACGAGCGGCGAGGAGATAGCTCCACATTCACCCCTGTCCTCTCGAGCTTCGCCGCTATCAATGCGAATGAGAAGAGCGTCGCGGACTTGATTGAGCCCATCGCCCTGTGACATGGTGGAGAGCGCCGAACCCCGGCAGCGCCTGAGTGAGTCCCCCAATCCTGAGTCCTGCCCTGTTCTGGTTGCGCCTGTTATACATGTCACCTACCTCCCCCAGGGCCTTTTAGATTTTCCCCATCCACGCCCTTCCTTCCTTTCCATGGGCCGCTTAGGCTGGTGTCTTGGAATGCGCATACTTCGTTTGGATCTATATGGACGTCCAGTGATAATGTTCGAGGAACTTACGGCGCTTCTCGGAGGTTAGCGGCCAGCTTCGATATTGTTTTCATCCCAGAGACTCACGGGCTCTAGGGCATTTGAAAAATTTCGGAAGTTGCATCCTGAATGGAAGACGTGGGGTCCTTGTACTGCCAGACCTTCTGCGGGCGGATTGCTCGCTACTTTAGCTCATTCGCCCTCTCCGAACTGGGAGATCAGGCGGGGGGGGCTGCTGATCCAGGGCGGCTGTCTCATCTCGCACTATCGGGCGACTGCGGCTCGCTCCGCGTCCTCAACTTCCACCTTGGCCCCTCCTTCCCCCCCCCACCGCGCCGAGGCTTAGGACATTCTCAACACGATCTCTGTTCATCTTCCTCCTCCGCACCTGGCCGCGTCCGTTCTTGCTGGTGACTTTTTAACTTTGCTGCGGTTGGAGAGGGCCGATTGAGGCTCGCTGATTCGTTCCAGGAGATGGGCTGCGATATCTTTGGGGGCGGGGTGCGTGTGTGTGTGTGTGTGTGTGGGGGGGGGGGGGGGGGGGGGCACTTCGATCCTGCATTCCCGTGCCTGGCTGAGATGGAAAAATCTAGATATATTCTTCGATCGCATCAAGCTGACGACCATTGGGCACCGATGTCTCTCGGGCGTAATGACCGCATCTACATAACTACTCCTACCTGCGACATCCCGGACTTCGGCCCTGTCTTTGGGACGCGTTGGGATGTTCTCCAACCTGGCAGCGTTAGTGATCATGCTCCAGTGTTTATTGGTCTGTATCCTAGGTGGATTGCTCGCTCTGATGAACATGGGGAGATCCTGGCGGCCCTGGCGGAGGGGCACGATCTCCCGTCTTGTCCCGCGGGGGCCGCGAAACGCATCGAAGACCCCATGCGCGTTGATGCCGCGCGGACCAAACACATCCTGGAGAAAAGGAGCCCTAGGAGTACTCCCGAACAGGTGGCCTGGTGCCGCGCTCTCGTTCGAGCCCGCCGCCGTGGCCAGGCGGTTGCGGTCAATGGGGCTCGTCGTGCATTTCCGCGTCTCTCGGACAGCTGCGACGTCCAGCTCGGCTGGCTGGAGCGCGTTCCCCGCGCGCAACGAGTTTCTCTGCCGGCCGATGCGGGCCCAGTTTGACACGGGGGAGAGGGAGGTTGCGAAGGGTGAGGAGATGACGGAGGCGCGGACGAACGGCCACCTCAGGCGCTCTTGTTCACTTGCCGCTGCATGGGCACCACGCCATCGGAGGGTCTTCCTTCGACGCATCATCGCAGATGACGGCGGGGCTCTCGTCAGCCCTGAAGGGTGCGCGCGTGCTCTGGCTGCCCGCTGGGGGGGACATTTGGCGCCCATGGCCCTCGGCGCCCGAATGCTTTCGCGAAGTCGACCCCTTCGTCCAAACGGTCGCCAAGACCGCCGTCTGGGCCGCCCTCGAGGGGGCCTGTTCTGTAAGCCTACCTGGAGGAAACGCGATTCTGCGCCTGGAATGGACGGGGGTGCCCTGTGCTGCCTGGGAAAAACGAGGGGGCGCATGTTTTGGGGCACCTTCTACAGTTTGCATGGCTCTATTTTGTATATATGTATACCGATAGGGGGCCGTGGCGGTGGACGACGGTTTCAATGTTGCTCTGGATGCTTCTTGCCGAAAGGCGATGACGCACGTGGCGATGACAGCGGAGAAGACAGGGACCCAGGGAAGACGCGGCCGCTGGCGTGATCGCCGATATCAAGATCGGATCATGTGCCATTGCTTCTCCTATTTCGCACTCTGCTAGCATCGTGGTCGACAGAATTATGGCATGGTTTCTCGCGGGGCGTAGCATGATGGACCGCATCATCTCGATTGATTCGCAGAGGGCGCCTTGGACAGGGCTGAGCAACCTAGTGCGTGCGGGCGCCGCTCTCTTCGACATCGAATCTGAATTTGCTTCGCTTGCGCATTGCTTCATGTTCCATTTCGTGAGAAGATGATGGCCCCAGAAGTCGCGCTGCGCGCCGTCCGCCAACTGTGACGCAATGTCAGGGTGCACGTTTGCTCTCGGGGAAGCTCGAATGTCTAGTTTGAGATCTTCAGAGGGATTCAACAGGGCGGCTCGCTGAGCGGGGTGCTTCTTGTTCTGGTGGTTGACACTATGATTCGCTTCCTGGGACACAGCCTGCCAGCATCCCTGAGTTGTTCCCTGTGCGGATTTGCCGACGACCTTGCCCACGCGCCAACCAAATTGTTCGATGCTCTTCCTGGGCTCGTTAGGGCCTGTTGGATTTGGCCAACATGACTGGGCTGCTCGTTCACCCCCGAGAAAATCTGCCTGATCTTCCCGAACAACCTTGCTTATGATTGGATTGGGGCAGAGTTTCAGAGACGGGCCCTTCGGATACAGAAGCTGAAAACCTTCTGCAACGCCAGGTGCCTTGGAGTTGTGATTGGACTTGGTGCGGGGCCACGGAAGAGCGTCGGCGCGGCCCTAGTCCCAGCCTGAAGAGACGGGCGCGGCAAATTCGCCCCATGTCGCTCTCGTGCTCCTTTAACATTTTCGCTTACAACACCTTCGTCTTCCCTGTCCTCAGCTCCGTCTCCCAAGTGCGACCAGCGCTGCCGGTGGCGATGGGCGCGCAGAGAGAGAGGCGGCCCATTTTTTGACTGCAGGACCCTTCAACGCCATCCCGCCAGCACTGGCGTTCCAGCTCAAGGCAGTGGGCAATGCTTTGGAATGTAACCACATTGTTACGTGGGGGAGGGCGGCGGCATTTTGGACGGCTAAGAGGAGTTCGGCATTTCTGCATTGGAAGGAGGAGTTGGAGTATATCCTACATGGTGATGACTCTACTATCGCATCTGAGTATCATCCGTCATACAAGACGTCTATTCTGACATATATGATAGATACTGCTCAGAGTGTCGAAGCGCTACCACAAGCCCCCGAGAACCCTGATGGTTTGAACCTCCACATGCCCTCGCCAGGAAAACTATCGCGGCTGCTTCTCCGACGTCCAGTGTCGAGGAACCCCGGGGCTGAAGAGGTGGCAGATTGGCATTTCGGATGCCCAGATTCTTCAGATTGGACTGTCCTTTTTTCGCCTGCGGGTCATCGCAGGGGTGCTGCCGCCGTTCGTGCTGACAGCAGTATTGAAGACATGGTGCAATGCATTGAACACTTCTCGGAGATATCGGATTGGGGCTCTGGGTTGCCTGTGCAGATGTATGGCAGTGGGAGGGAATTCTCTTGATCACTACATGCGGTGTCCTGTTCTACTCGAAGCTGCGAGGGCCTCTCCCCCCTTTCTTCCTGGCTTCTTGGGCGAAGGCGACTACCAAAAGCAATGTATTCCTGCGTTCTTGGAATTGTCTTCTAGGTCTGGATTGCGCAGTGTAGCTATGGCTATTGAAATCATGTGTAGTGTTATGAACTCCCTTCGTGTAGGTAAGGGGCAGAGACTTTCCATTCAGCAGTCACTTAGTTGAAGCTCGGGCTGGATCCTTGAGAAAATTATCATGGCAAGCTGGCCTCCTCCTGAGAGGCCAGCCTCTCTAGTCAGGTGAAGCATCCCATTCGGAATCGTGTGTCAGGACGGTGGACGGGTTCTCTCCCCTTCACTCTCTTGTCCGCTTGCCCTCTTGCTCTTCTCCCTTGCTCGCGTCGTGTCCGCTCTCTCCCTTGGGTGGTGCGGTTCCTCCTCATCCTCCTGTTTCTCCTCTGACGCTGCGAGCATGCGAGTGCGCTTTCAGGTGAACTCCAAGAGGGAAGGGGGGGATGGCAACTCGGAGGGGACGGCGGAGGTCTTGCATGCGTGAGTTCCTTCTCTTCCTCCTCCTCCCTCCTCCTCCTCCTCCTCCTCCTCCTCCTCCTCCTCCTCCTCCCTCCTGAACCTCCTCATCCTCCTCCTCCCTCTGCTCCTCCTCCTCCTGCTCCTCCTCCTCCTCCTCCTCCTCCTCCTCCTCCTCCTCCTCCTCTCCGCCTTCCCCTTTTCCTTCGCCTTCTCCTCCTCCTCCTCCTCCTTTTCCTCCTTCTCCTCCTTTCCCTTTCCCCCGTCCCCCTCCTCCTGCCCCTCCCCCGTTCCCCCTCTGTCTTCTCGCGCAGGCTCTTCCTCAGCGCCGGTCGCACCCGCCTCGATGCAGCGACAACCGTTGCGCAGGGCCGGGCGCCAGGCGCGCCGCGCTTTGCCGCGCAGCGCCGGCGGGGTCGAAGCACCCGGCGAGATTCCCTAACCGCTTTGGGCGGCTCGAAAGGGCTCGCGCCCGCAAGGGTGAGGAGGAGGAGGAGGAGGAGGAGGAGGAGGAGGAGAAGGAGGAGGAGGAGGAAAGGGAGGAGGGGGAGGAGGAGGAAAGGGAGGAGGAGGAGGAGGAGGAGGAGGAGGAGGAGGAGGAGGAGGAGGAGGAGGAGGAGGAGGAGGAGGAGGAGGAGGAGGAGGAGGAGAGGGGGAGGGGGAGCAGCAGCACCAGCAGCGAAGTTGGATATTCAGGTGGAGGCCGGCACAATAGTGCACATACGTCGGCCGGCGGTTGTCGATTGCCTGGGGAACAAATTGCCCCAGGCTCACGTTTATTAGCCTTTCAGTTGCGGTGCTTTCGCACCGTGCGTACGCCGTTTGGGGCAAGGGAAAAAGAAACTGGCTCTGAAATGCCCCCAATACAGTCGTAGAGTATCCCAACGGCCAGTCCCAGAAGCGCCCCGAGAG